GCCGTAGCCACTGCGGCCCTCGCCGCGACCGCCACGGCCCTCGCCGCGGCCGCGGCCCTCGCCGCGGCCCCGGCCCTCGCCGCGGCCCCGACCCTCGCGACCTCCCCTGCTCACGCCGCCGGCGTCGTCCTCAAAACGCTCCGAGCGCTCAGGGCCGCGGCCACGGCCTGGGCCCCTGCCACGCCCGGGTGCGTCGCCACGCCCAGCGCCCCGGCCCCGGCCAGCGTCGGGCTTCACAGGAGCCGCCACGGGCGCCGCGGGTGCTGTGTCAGAAAAGAGGTGCACGCGGGATTGGGGCGTGAGCAGGCAGAAGGCGGGGCTGCTCGGGCGCTGAATGAGATTTTGGGCGTCATGCCTATCGCACTCATCTCACAGGAGACAAGTGCTCATCACGGAGCGTCCCACTATCCAGATCAAAAATCAAGGCATGCCCCGGTGTACCTGGATAACGTGCTGCGCATGCAGAAAGCGAACATTGCAAGCTTCACAGGCATATTGCAGCGCCACGCAAGCGTGGCAATGACCGCAGACTCACCCTTGCTGGCGGCAGGCGCGGCCTTGGGCGCGGGCTTTGCCACCGCAGCCTTCCCGGCAATGACCTCCGGGTCAGCATTCTCCTCCTCATCTTGCAGCAAGGCAAACAGGTTGGTATCCGCCATGGTGATCAGGCTCAGGAGGCACGGCGCCCCCGCGCTGTGTTTTGGCCCGCAGGACGTAAAGGTGCTTCGAAGGAGAGGGACTTAGGATTCGGGTTTGTCCCTGTCAAACCAGAGACGGCTCAATGTTGGGCGGGGGGCCGTGATCGCCCGGCTGCCCGCCCATGATCTGAATGCGCTCCCGAAAAAAGTAGCGTGGTGACCGACCCGCCTACATCATGACCAGCAATCAAGAACAGTGAGTTGATTCTCTGGTGGCTGATGGACTGGTCAATGCGTTTGACCGTGCAGTGTATGGAATGAAATGCAGCTCCCATCCCAGTCTTGCGGATTTGATCCTGTGCTGCCTTCCCGTAGCACTGCTGCCACTTGCTCAAGTTCAACTGCCGTAGGTGAAGCTGCAGCCGCCCAAAGCCATTGTGGAATTGTATATAGGGGGTATGCAGGGGATGATTGAAGGGCTTACAAACCTCAAAGCCCAAACAGCTTGCCAGCCAAGAAGCACCACCCCTGCTGGGCCAACCTTGCAACCAGCCCATAGCCCCATGCACAGAGCGGTTCCAAACAAAGCTGGCTTCGCTCACTTGCGCTTGTATCTTCTTCTTGATTGGCAGCTCTTGTCGTCCTGTCGATAAATTCGTTCAATGCGCTAATCTTCAAGTGCACTGGCACTTCATTACGCTGCAGATCGTCCTACGCCACGCACACTGCCATACGAACCTGCATCAGTCAGACTGCAGCGCAAACACATCGTTCTGATTACAGAAGGGCAATTGGTGCAACTGTATTTGGGTTGACCAACCGCTCCAAACAGCCGCGCGAACAAAACCGCGTGGACACAGTAAGCTATCAGTATAGGAAATGAAGTAGAAGACAAGTCAAATCACAATCGCCTGCGTCACCCAACCTCCACCGTGCATGTAGCTGGTCACATCATGGCGTACTTGCGAGTCCATTCACGGGCCGTCTCCTGCAAGACAGTGCGGCAAAACAAGGTTGGGCACAGGGTGGTGATATCAAGCAGGCATCAAGCAGAGTCCTTGGCCAATGGGTGAGGCGTGAACGACGATTGCCGCACTGCAGCAGCTCACATATTGCCAACACACCTCATATCTTTGACGATCGCTCTTGAAGATGTGGGCGATCTCCGGCACCAGGGGGTCGTCGGGGTTGGCGTCAGTCAGCAGTGAGCTGATGGACAGCAGCACCTGGTGCGGCCGGGGGTGCAGCGGGCAGGGATGGATGCAAACATGAGGCTTCCTGGCGGCAGCAGGGACAATCGCATGTCAGCCTGTACAAGCCGCTGCTGCCACCGCCTGTCAAACAACAAGTGCGACTTCCTCTATATAAATATCATAGCCCCAATAACTATTGATGATCCCTCTTACAAAAGCCCACAACACTAGCGCGCCGCAATGCTGTACGATGGGGCTGCGAAAGTAGTGGACATCACAGCATGGCAAGCTGCCAGGGCCCTGAGTGGTTTGCCCCCCCCCCCGCTCCACACACACACACACACACACACACACACACACACACACACACACACACACACACACACACACACACATACATACCTTTGATATGGTGAGTGCGGGGCTCCACTGGTCCTTGAGAATGTCAAGGCAGATGGATCCCTGGCTGTTGACATTGGGGTGGTACACCTTGGTCTGGAACGCCACCTTTGGGGGCTTGAAGGGGTAGTCTGCAGCAGTGATAGGGAGGGAGGAACAGGAAGGAGTGCTGCCCGTCGGTGTGCGTGTTGCAACAAGTGCAGGTCCGGCATGGCGAGGTGGCTCGCACATACTTATTTTCCAGGCTTCATGCTGTGAGCATGCCGTCGCTGTGCAGTGGCGCTGGCGGGCGCCCACCTGGCGGAAAGTGGATGTTGATGAAGAAGACACCGCCGGCATAAGGTGAGTCCGCTGGCCCCATGATGGTTGCCTGCCTGCGAGAGCCAGTGGCCCAATTAAATTGAAAGCATAGGAAGCTGCAAAAATCCCTGAAAGGTGCGGCCCTGGCTATGTCCATTGGTGCAACCAGGCGTCCAGATGTTGCGACCATCCTGCAGCTGCAGGACTCTCTTCCTGCTGCTGCGCTGCCCTGTTCTCCCCTCCCGCACCGCTGTGTCATCGACGCACCAATGAAACAGATCGTCCTGCACAGGACCCGCGCTGCGCACAAGAGAGCACAAGTACGAGGTGTACGAAACTTTAGAAAGGGAGTGCACATGCAAGCTCACGCCGCTTGCCGGCAGCCGCGCTCAGGTGCGGTGGTGCCTGGAGCCACAGGTCCAAAGGCACAACCGAAGGCTTCTGAAAGAAGCGGTATATATTGCAACGCATGCATGGAGTGGGCTCGAGAACTACAGGCACATCGCCTCACACACACACGTCCCCCAAGCTCGCTTGCTGGAAATCAGCAGCCGGACGCACCTGCAGTTAGCTGGAGGATCCCGCTTGAGGTCGTCCAGCTCTGCATGAGGAGCGCGAGCGGAGCAAGAGATCGGAGCCCGCCTTTCGGTACTGGATCGGCCATACTTGCGCGACAGACCCACCCTTCATGATACGCTTGCTCGCCATTGATCCTATGTGTAGCGCTGTGCTTGCTGGTGGTTCGCTGATGGCCGGCTTGGGTGGGAGCAGCGGGTTGAGCACTTGAGAAGAGCCTCGAAGCGATGCTGCCGGTATCTATGCGAGATTGTTCAAATAAACAATGACATTGCATGGACAGCGTTACCGGTATCGTGTTGCTCCGGCAAGCGATTTGCACGAGGCAACTTCTGCTGGAATGATGGAAGCTGAGGTGCATCTGGGATGGGATTATCGGTACTAAGGGTGCATGCATGGATGAACGCCTTCACCGGGGTTTGCCGAGCAGCAATGCCATGGGCCATGCGCACCAAGCTGGTAAGTTGGGGCCGGCGCGAAACAGCAACAGTGAGAAGCAGGCGCCACGTCTGGCGCACCATGTGTGAGGAAGGCTACCAAAGTGTTGCAAAGCCTGCAGCAAGGAATGTGATTGCATATGTTGAAATACTGCCGCGATGCAATAACATGGTCAATCATGTCATCGACAGACCGCGTCGCCTAAAACCTTGACAGAGCTTCTTGGTTTATGGATGCATTTTGTGCAGCGTCGAGTCGATTGCGGTCTCTTGCACAAGACAGCGCTATCCACATGCCCCCAGAGGCAATCGTAGGTTGCGTGAATGCGGTTGATGGGTCAGAACGGACAACCCATGACGCCTTGAGCGAGACCTGGGGTGGGGAGTTTCAGTTGACCACTGGTCAAACCCGAACGCAAAGAGCGGTCATAAGTCGGAAAGGATTTGTCATCACAGAAACGTCAGGAAATTTCTTCTCAAGGTACTGATGGCTTTGTGTCCATTGCTTCAACGTGTGCAATCGCGTCGACGACTCGGTTCCTGAGCCATGTCACGCTCAACCGCGTAAAATCACTGGCGCATACGTCGTCTTTTATGAACTATAACTACACTCAAACACATTCTCTGCCTTCATCCCCTGTCTGCTTGGATCACAAGGGGAACGAGCTGTTTCCGCACTGCCACGCCTGGCCGACGCGTTAGCAATTTGCACAGCATAATAACAGCGTGCTCAGATGGAGTCTCAGGAGGAGAGCGTGTACAACTTGATCCCACGGCCGCAAGTTGCCCTGCAGCGGCCCCCCATGCACACATCAAGGGTGCGCGCGCCACACTCGCAAGGCATCGCGCCATGCAGGCGCGGACGGGCCAGTAGCCTGCATGCTTGGCGCTGTGTGGTGTGCAGTTTGGCAGTAAGCCCCATATCTGCTATGTGTACTTCAACGCTGCAGTGCGAACGGGTTTCGGCAGACATGCAGCAAGCGAAAGCAAATGTGCCGTGCGTGCTTCCTAACACCCACAACGCGGGCCCCGCACATTTTCTGGGGTGGCTTGCAACAGTTTTCTGCCACAGTGGAGGAGAAGACGTTCAGCGGCAGCGCGCCACGCCGCGCAGCCGCAACTATGGGGCGCGCAAACGGCCTGAACGCTGAGCACCCCTATGGCTTCCTGCGCAAGCACGCCAAGGAGCCCGTGCTGCCTGAGCGTGAGTGACGCACTGTTTTCCATGGCCCTTTTGTGGCCTTTGCATGAACTCTGCGATATGATGTGCTGGGTGCATGACATATAGGGGCCGGACGCTCTATGCAGGCAGAAGCTGAGTGTGCACGCATCAATTCCAGCAGTGCTGCACCATGTTTCGCTTCGCAGCGACGGCGCCCACCGTTCTCAAGCACAAGGTCAAGCCGCCGGTCCCGCTGCGCAGCGAAGTGCCGGTGATGGGACTCATGAGCGACAAAGACTGGGTTGTGGCCAATGCAGTAGAGGCCATTGCCAGCCGGCCGTGTCAAAAGGGGGCTTCGGTGAAAGGCGGCAAGCAGCTGGAGATAAACTACACGCAACGGCCAGGTTTCGGCAAGGTGCGAGGAAATCTGCTGGGGTGGTTGTTGCCGACGTGAGTGCATACTCATGCAAAGTAGGAGTGCTAGTCAAACTCGTGGCTTGTGGCACATCGGAGCGCTTGCGTGGTCTCATTGGGACACTTCACTGCCCAACTACGCGAATGTGAAATGCGCAGGTGCCCACGTACCTGCGGCGCAACAAGGCGGCGATTGCAGACGAGCAGCAGCAGATCGAGACGTTCATGGGCGTGCGCGACCATACGGTGCGCTCCTTGATCAAAGAGCACGGCGCATTACGGCTGTTTTTGTTGCCTTGCAAGTCGCACTGCAGTTGTGTCTGTTCACAGTGTCATGCATGCATGTCTGTTCACAGTGTCATGCATGCCTACAGAACTGCAAACTTTGAGGGCTAGGCTGGCTGGTTTAGGCACGCGACCCCGTCGCATTGATGCTGGTGATAATGGTTGTTTTCGAGAGAGTGAACCCCCTACGACACCTGACATCGTGCCTCACAGGAGGGTGATGACGGCGTGGCGCAGCCTATGAGCGCCGAGGAGCGCTGCGAGCTGCTGGCGCACCTCAAGGCCAAGTGGGCAGCTTTCAACGCGGCCTACCTCAAGTTTGGGTTTGTGCTGGACATCGAGGTGTGTTCATGCAGGGGGTTTCAATTCAGGCTGGGTTGTGCCAATGGCGGAATCGTCCCACCTGCACGCATGGCAGAGTGCACACGGCAATGAAACAGGTGTCCGTACGCCCCTGTAACCCGCCACTGCCTGCGCCCTCCGCCACCGCCTGCGCCCTCTGTACCCAGTCCAAGATCAGGAGGAAGGAGGCGCTAGAGGGGGAGCTTGCTGCAATTGAGGCCGACATAAAGCTGCTGCAGCGCGGCGATGTCGTGTTGGTTGTACGCGACTCATGAGGGCTGCATTGCACGGCCTGACGCCACACCCCTTGGGCGTAAGGCACCCAGCAGTGCAGACGTATTTGAGTGCGAGGGTGATCTGGTGGTATGACGCGTCCAGAAGCTGACCATATGCGTTTGCTTGAGCAATGGCGTTGGGTTTTGGAGCGGGTACGGTAGTTGGCGGTTGCCGACTGCTATAACTGCAAGACCAAGTGCTGGCCTTGTCTCTGGCATTATTGGTGTGCTCTTAGGAAGGCAGGATACACGGCAGTTAAGTACTTGTTGGGGGGAGATGCAGCCCTGTATACATGCGGTGCATGGTCACGCTTGAATTGAAAGTGGCTGTTCGATTTCGGAGCGGCGGCACAGCGCTCAAGGCCCCGCACCGTCTCTGCATCCGCGAATCAGCTAACTGCTCCGTTCTTCTGGTTTTCCGGCTCGTGAATACGCCCTTGCGTGTGTGCAGGGCGCTGGCTGCAATGGACGACAGCAGAGCGCAGCGTTTGGCGAGGATGCAGGCTTGTGTTAGGAGCCTGCTTACGGGGGTTGGCGAAGACGTCGATAGGGAGGGATTAAAGGACACGCCTAAGGTAAGAGGGGCCGTCGCTGACCCTCGCGCAGCCCCCCGACGCTTTGTTGGGGCATCACCAGCCTCTCACGCCCCCGTTCAATCCGCAGCGCGTTGCCAAGGCCTTTATGGACATGATGGAAGGCTATAGGATCCCCCTGGCAAGGTAAGAGTCGCCCATGCGGCCTAGGCGCGGCAGCTCGCGAACGCGATCTTGCGCCTCCGGCCTCCTTCACACATCCCGCCCCACTCGCGGTCCTTCCCCCTTTGCAGCGCACTTGGTACAGCCCTGTTCAACGAGCCAATTGTAAGCAGAGGTTCGGGTGGCCTGGTGCTGGTGCGCGACATTGACTTCGCGTCGACGTCTGAGGAGACGCTGCTCCCCTTCCACGGGAGGTGCCACATCGCCTACGTCCCCTCCAATGGCGTCGTTCTGGGCCTCAGCAAGCTGGCGCGGCTCGCCAAGCTGGCCGCGCGACGTGTCCAGACCCAGGAGACGCTTGCACAGCGTGTGCTGCATGCGCTGTGCGACGCGCTGCGGCCCCAGGGTGTTGCAGTGATCATACATGCGCGGCACCTGTCCTATGCATCGACCGCACCACTGGAGCGGTTGACTGCAGCGGTCGCCGGCTCCTGTGCAGGCAGCAGCAGCGGCAGCAGCACCGGGGAGCTGCTGGGAGAGGTCCTGGCGATGCTGGATGTCGACCCAGATGAGCTCGCAGCCGCGGGTCGCCCTCTGCAGCTCCTCGAAGCCAGCTCGCACCAGAAGAAGGTCCAGCAGCAGCATAGCGGCAGTGGCGCGGGTGGTCGGTCAAGCATGCAGCGCACGGCCTCGAGCAGCGGCAGCGATAGCCCCATGGCGCCCGTCACACCGGACCCCTCAGAGCACGACGACGAGGCGCTGTCGGCGGGCTTTTGCGAGGGAGCGAGTGAGGCTGGGGGTGCGTCGTCGCTGGCGTGCAGCTCGTGTGACGACGGCGACGCCGCGGCAGAGGGCATGGAGGCCGCCGTGGCAACGCTGCTGGCCGAGGCCGGCGTAAACGACGTCGCCTCTCCTGCGCTGCAGGCGGGTGTGAGACGCTACGTAATGTCGCTGCTGGCCTCCACCAGCGGCTACCACCAGGAGGCCCCGTTGGCTTCGCCTCGGCTGCAGGTTGGGTGTGGCTGCACATGCGAAGGGGATGGGCAGCCACAGCAGCACCGGCGGCGGCAGCAGCAGCAGCAGCAGCAGCAGCAGCAGCAGCAGGAGCAGCAGGAGCAGCGAGCCTGCTCGGCAGCGGTGCCGCCGCCCTCAGCGGCAGTGGCTTCAGCGACCTACACTTGGCGCGAGCACCATGTGCGGTTTGTGTCGCAGTGTGAGCACCACATGCTCCCGTTCTACGGGAGCGTGCACATTGCCTACATCCCGGCCTGCCATGGCTGCGAGGCTCATAAGGGCATGTCGCATGACCAGGCGGAGCAGGTCGTGGCAGCATACACACAGCGCTTGCAGGTGCAGGAGCGCATAACGCAGCAGGTGGCCGACGCGGTGTCGGCGCTAACTGGTGCGAGCGGCGTGGTTGTAGCAGTGCGTGCGGCACACATGTGCATGGTCGCGCGCGGTGTGGAGAACCATGCAGGCTCGACGATCACGCGCACCGCCAGTGGCGAGTTTGAGCTGCGGCCGGAGTTGAGGGCGCGCTTTTTGCGCGCAGTTGCGGTGCGCAGCGAGGCCAGCGCCTGCGGCAGCGCACCTGAGGCCACTTGCGGCTGCGGCTGCTGATGAAGCGGCTCAGCCTTATGGTGCCAGCATGGTAGGCCGCGTACCTGGCACGAGCGCCCGGCCTTTCTTGCGCTTTTTGTGAGCGAACCGCTTGATTCATTATTACCGCTTTGACACTCATTGCAACGGCGTAATGCTGGGTTGCAGCAGTGTCCCCAACACACACTCGCTTTCCCCTTGCAGCAAACAAGTCTGCGGGGTTTGCAGGCGGCCAGCTGTCCTAATAGCCAGTGGGGTTTGGTGCCCGGCTTCTGAAACATGAAACCGTTGAGAGGACGCTTTGCGGCAGTGCACTGGGCCGCCCTGCAATTTTCCAGCCCATGGTGCTGCCACCAAACACTTCACATTCACAGGCAGAGCTCAATCGCCTCCCACCTTCAGGGCTACGTTTGCACCCAAATTGATGTCGCGCCGCGGTGTGTAAGCAACACAGGTGCTTGCCGTGCTCATGCATCAGGCTGCGTGGAGCGATAGCTTTGTCCTTGCTTAAGACCCAATCGTGTGCAGCACCAACACTTGTGCAGGCATCTTCACAGATGATTGCTGGCCCTACTCATGACAAAGCAAGCCTACGAGCAGAGATGATCGCCATCTGGGCTATGCTGTTCATTATTCATGGAAAGGAAATGTGCCAGCCCTGCAGTGGTTGGGGATGGTTGGCGAGCTTGGAGGTGACATCCTTGCCGCTGCTAGAGTCATGGGTGGACGCGGCCCCGGTCCTCAATTTGAGGCATAATTGCATTCGAGCACCACACGCCGGGTTCGCTCATACTCTGTACGGTAGTGGCCGACGGTACGTTGCCCGCAACTCGAGTTGCACAAAGGGTGGGGCAGGGACTCGCACGGCCCTCTTCCAGCAACTAGCTCAACCTTCAGGTGAGACAAACAAGCCCGTGGCCCTTACAGCACTGGCAGGCCGCGGCGGCCCTGCTCACGCGCCGGTGCTTCCCTCTTCCCCGCGCAGCTGACAACAGCGGACAACATGGCTTCCAACGTTTCTGGACAGCTGCTTTGGGAGCTGGTCAAGGGCCACAACAGGTGGGGCGCGCAGCCAAGCTCGTGATCAACACGCTAGCCGTGGAGCACACAGCAGGCTGTTGTTTGTATGTCGCTGTCACCTTGATAAATCTTGGATGATGTCACAGGAGAGACGGCTGGTCGTAGCAGACCAGGCACTGGCGCGTGATGTCGGATATCGCTGTGCTGCTGCCGCAGTAGGGTATGCGCTGCAGACCTCAGTAGTTGGGGTGTGCTGCAACACCTCAACCCCTTGCACCGTTGCCACATTTCTGATCCACCAGCTTTGTGCGCAAGAACCTGCACGGCAACATTTTCAGCGCGGAGAAGGGCAACCTGTACGCCAAGCACTCGTACAAGTACAGCGGTGAGTGCAGTAGTTGCACCGCTGTGCGCAGCCGTCCGGCAGTGGGGCCCCCACAGTGGAAACCCTTGTATCTGGTGCGACTTTAGCCTTGGTAACAGCGGCCCGTTTGCTGCACAGCAGCTGCTGGCAACTGCTGGCTTGTCTGCTTCCTGGAAGTCCCACATGGTGCAAGTCTTCTGTGGCCAAGCCTCGCTCACATGTGTATGACCACCAGGCATTGTCAACAGCCAGGCTGTTGACATCCGTGAGGGCGCGACCGGCGGCGTTGACATCTCCGTCAAGCGCGCCAAGACTGTGTCCAAACCCGCCTCCGCGGTGCACAAGGTCACTTCGAAGAAGGGTGCGCGCCGCGCCATCGCAGCTGTTCGCAAGCAGGTCGGCTCCTACCGCCCGGACCTGCAGGTGAGGGGCTTGGGCAGGAGTTAGGGATTCGTGGCGAGCCAGCCGCGTGGCCAGGCACTGCCGTGTGCGGTTTGTTGCAGCCATTGCATGGCGGGCTGGTGCAGAGAAGTTGCTTCAGGCTCCTCGCCTAGATCGCATGGGGTTGCCAGCCTTGCTGGACATCTTACAGCCAAGTGGTACAAATTTGAGGCATGGTATGCTGTTGTGCAATTGCAGCAGTAGCCGTTGTCATGCACCCCACTCACAGCTCATGCATGACTGGCCGCCTCACTCGTTCCGACATCTCACCTGCACCCGTCCTCTCGCCCGTGCAGAGCGCCGCTGTGGCGCGCGTCAGCGCAGTCCACAGGGCGCTGCGCGCCAAGGCCGCCAAGAAGTAGGCAGGGTGCGGCTGCGCAACCAATATCTGCTGGTGTAAACTGAAGGTGCAAGGTGTTGCATACCGAGCAAGCAGCTCTCGGTGGTACCTGGGCGTGCTCGGGCAACAAGGACTTGTGGGATCCAGGGTGCATGTCAGTCCCGTATGAATCCCCAATGTGTCAGTTTACGCCCTGCAAGCACAAGCCGTAGGCCAGCATGCGTGGGCTGTGCTGCAGAAGAGCTCATGAGCTCAGTCCAGTCCGCGCCTGGTACCGTATGCCCTGGGGCCATCATCATGGTTTATACAAGGCGCCTTGCATAATTTATCGATTTGGCTTTTGGGGGGAGTATGCACACCCTTATTTAATGATATCATGAAACACAGCGATCAGGATTGCGGTGTGCAGAGCAGACGGTGATCTATGTCACGGTTTGGGCCACTGCTGCTATGACTTCAAACAATTATTCTATGTCTGTTTTCATCGCGTACCAGCAACGGATGCACTCGGCCCCATCTACATCTGTACGCAGATGTTCACATGAGCTTTGTATGCAGCCGGGCAAGCAGCAGAAGCACGCTGCAAGTGCCTGCGACCATTAGGAGTGGCGGGCGTGGGTGCCTGGACAAAAGCCCCATCAAACAGGCCGTGTTCGTCAGCACCGTGCAGTATTGCAGCACCGCCGGCCGGCACTGTCGCCGCCTGCTCGTGCTGGGGGTGCAGCTTCACTTGGTCACGCGCCACCCTTGATCTTCAAGGCGCCATCAGCGATAGGAAGTATGGGGCAGGAGGCAGCAGCCGCGCCGGCCACACCTGCAATCGTGGGACGTCGGCTCGGCGGGCTGGCGGGGCCCTACCCTCGGTTAAGTGGCCTCGCAAGAAGCAGCACAGGGACGTTGCAGACACCAGTGCCTTACCACATGGCGGCGCGTGCGGCTGCCGCCGCAGCAGAAGCTGCTGCAGCTGCAGCCGCCTCGGCTGCTGCTAGTTTTTCCGCAATGGTGGCAGACGCCCAGCAGAATCAACAGCCAAGGCGGCTGCCGCCGCCACTGCCGCCGCCGCCGCAGCAGCAGCAGGAACAGCAGCAGCAGCAGCAGAAACAGCAGCAGGCTCCTGCAACAACAAACCCCTTGCCCGTGCGCAACTCCAGCAGCGGCGACCTCGCTACCGCAGCGGTCATGCCCAGCGCAGCGCGTGCGCCTGTGACAAGGAAACGCGTGCGGTTCGACGAGGTACCCCGGGTGTACAGCCTGCCCTCTAGGGGCGCCTGGCAGCAGGAGGCGGTGGACGCCGCTTACGAATCGGCCAGCTGGGGCGCGTGGGAGGACGCGTCGGAGGACGGCGAAGAGGCCCGGCAGGAGGGGGGCGGCAGCCTCGGAGATGGCGTGCAGAACGGCGCCGGGGAGCACGCCGGCAAGCGGCGGCGGGGCGCCTCTTTGGCTACGCGAGCGGCGGCACAGGATTCAGAGCGGTGGCCCAAGGCCGCGTTGGCGGCGGCTGCTGCGGCGCGCAGGGACGAGGGCGGCGGGCTGCGCGGGTACAATGGGGGCCGGCGCAAGCTGGCTCGCGCAGTGCAAGCGGCTGTGAGGGAGCAGGGCAAATCTACAGCTGGTGAAGCAGATGGCGGTAGCGGCAGCAGCAGCGATGATGGTGGCGACAGCGGCGTCGCCAGTGATGGCGAAGATGCCGACAACGGGTTGCTGCAAGGGGCGGACGCTGAGCAGGCGGCCCTCGCTGCCGAGGCTGCGCGCATCGTCGCCAGCCGCGCGGCACGCGGCCGGGGCGGCGGGCGTGGCAAGAGCCGCGGCGCCGCGGCCGGAGCTGTCGTCCGCAGGGGTCGTGCGTCTTTGCCCGATGAGCGGCTGGAGCCTGGCACCCCCGAGGCAGCGGCTATGACGTCCATGCTGGAGCAGGTGCAGGCTCGACCACCCTAGTGCTTGTGCTGGTTGGCATGCGTGGTGGCATGGGTGTGCGGGCGGTGCGGAATGTTGCGGTTTTGGGGGCCAAGTTCCGGCCAAGGGGTGCTGTGCAACTCTGCTGCAGGGGTGCAGGGCAGCCGATCTTTCATCCAGGTCCGCGCGCTGACACCAGCTGCCCCTGCTCACCCTCGCCACACTCACGCGTGCACCCGTCCAGGAGGGCCTGCCCCTTGAGAGCGTCGAGGCCATCATGCGCGTCCTGCACCGCCTGCGCCGCGCGCCCGGTCTGGACCGCATGCAAGCGAAGGTGTCGCGCTACGTGGCGCTGGCGGCGCGGTTCCAGCGGCCGGGCATGCTGCGGTGGGTGCGGCGCTACCCCCAGCTCATCGACCACAAGATGGCCAGCCTGCAGGCCAGCAT